TATGCTCAAATAAAAGCATCGCTCCAGTGAAGTGGCATAAGGCTTTTGTACAGAATGATTAATTATGTCCAATATTTAAAACTAATCTCTCGTTACTTTTGTCTTTCTTCACTCTGAAGTTCTTTTTTTTTCCCCCATTTCTGTCATTTGGGGTGGAAAAAAAGACAGATACTACACTCATGTCATGGAAAATTATTGCACAATTCGGTAAAGTTGTACATAAAGGAATAGTAACTGACAGATGCATAGGAATTACTGTGCCAGATTAGACTAATGCTGCACATAGTTCAGTACCTTTTGTCCCAGAAATAGACAGTTCTAGATGTCTGTGCATCTGGAACTGATGGGTTTGCACCTCGGCATTTAGCATACTGCAGCCAGCTCTGTGACAGTCCCTCTGCAGTGTCTGTCATTCAAGGAAATACAGAACAGGCTTTTCAACAGAAACAGGCATTGTTTGACATCACTGCTAGTTCTGGGACATTGTGAGTCTGATGCACTGTGTTTGCTTCTGGCTGCTTATGTGTATTGCTGTCTTTGCACATCCAGTAGGAGCTCATACATCTTACCTTCACTTCTATAAGGTTCTCAGTGGTATCACTCCTCACTTTAATTAGCTAGCAGGGCATGCCAGAAGTTCTGGGCATCTAACAGGCTTCCTTCTTTGCTTCTGTGCCCTCTCTGTCATTTTTCAGATCATGCATTTTGGGCTTGCTGATACATCCCGACCTTCATCTTGGTAGAATAATGGGCCATAGCTGCCAGTTACATTGTTCTACTAGAGTTTTAAAATATGTTTAAATATTTAATTAAAGAAACTGTTAATGCCTCTTGTTTTTAAAAAGATGTCTAACACGTAAAATTAAAAAAAAAATCAAATAGGAGATGGCAACAACGCAGCTGTGGCCTGTTGGACCATATACAACGTCAGTATCAGTTGCCTCGCCAGGGTCTTTTCACGTAACAGATCATAAGCACTTTTTTGTTGTTGTGAGCTCAAAGAAGAGACAGCATTTTGGGAAGACTGTCTCTCTCTCATGCATAGCTTGAGGTAAAGAATGAGGCATTTCAACATGCAGTTCCAATTCTGTCTTTAAATGTGTGGCAAACTGTGCTGTTGCCAACTCAGTAGGGAAAGCGAGCATGTGTAGGTGTGGGTGGGCGAGGGGGTAAATTTCATTTCAAGGGCTGATCTCTAAACACTTCTCCAAGCTAAGCTATGTGAGCCTAACATTCTAATTCCAAGGGGACTCTTGACACTGCATAGTAAAACTGCTTATTAAATTACAATCAAGAAAAAAATCAGGAAATAGACACTATTCAGCTGGCAGCATACGGGGAAAAAGGCTGAATTCTAATTATTTGAATAGCAGTGTTAGTGTTCTTTTACTAGGTGAAAATAAAATTAGCTTATCACTGATATCATTATTAATGTATGAGATGAGGCAGAAATACAACTTAATTCCTAACACCCCTTCTGCCCCTCCCCCCC